CAAACTAGCGTAACAGGGTTATACTTGCAAAATAGTTCACAAACTTACTTGGATAATATGATTAGAGACTGGTCGACACTGATGTATATACTTTACTGTGAGTGGGATTGTATTCATGTAATTTCTGCACCGCTTAATGTGATACGTGAACGTTTATGCTATGCTAGTGGTTCCAGACTTCTAAAACCCTAATCCACTGGTCACTGAATGTTCCCATTTTCAAAGTTCCAATTTAACATTCTGCATGCATATCTTCTCATTACAATTTCACAGCTATTTCATCTCTCATTCTTATTATTCTTCACTTAATCTTAGTTTCTCAGTACTTAAGTTTTAACCAGTCATTAAAACGCCCCCCCAGGGTCCCATAAATCCCCATTTTGGTAACTGTAGGGACTCACCATCTGTAATCTGCCTTGGATCCCTGGGACAAAAGGTGGCCTATCATTAAACTAAATAAATAAATATGGACCAACACAACTATCTGCATCACTATCTTGTGTAAATAGTCCCCCAAATAATGAAAAGCATAAAAAGGAACAGAACAGTGAGCCTTTAAAAGCCCAGATAGCAAAAAAGAGCAAAATCCTGCAATTCCAAAAAAGCAAAAAATGGTAAAATCATAATAACAGCTCAAATCCTAAATGTTGTACATAAATAAATAAATAAAAACATAAAGCTGCAATCCTAAACCACATTTGTGCTTATATACATTATATAAGCCAGCTTGGTGTAGTGGCGTAGTGTAGTGGTTAAGTGCATGGACTCTAATCTGGGAGAACCGGGCTGATTCCCCACTCCTCCACTTGCAGCTGCTAGATGACCTTGGGCAAGTCATAGTTCTGTCAGAGCTGTTCTCTCAAGGACAGTTCTGGAAAGAGCTCTCTCAGCCCCACCTACTTCACAGGGTGTCTGTTGTGGGGAGGGGAAGGGAAAGGAGTTTGTAAGCTGTTCTGAGACTCCAAGTGAAGGATGGGGTATAAATCCAATCTCTTCTTCTTCTTCTTCTTCTTCTTCTTCATTACTGAACTCAAATACATTTCTTACTTATCAGTAACATCCATAGGATAGGGCTCCTTGTGAGCTTTACATTCTTTCCCCCAAAGCCCCTGCTCAATGAATTCACTCCAGGACCTTGGGGGCAACAGCCGAAAAGGCCACGCTTCCTCTCATTGCTATTCTGAGTTCCCAAACTGAGAAACTTTTCACTGCCTCATTTTATTAACTGTGTGTATAAATGCCACTCTAAGGGGAGATTCTCTGTCTAAGAGATTCCTCTGTCTGATGAAACTCGGCACAGTTCCCTTGAGAACGTTCACAACGAAACTCAAGCAACGCTTCAGCGCAGCAGAATCAATACCATCGTTTTATTAATGTAAAATGCGGCTGGCCTCAGACGGCACAGAATCCACCCTACCGGAAATTCTCATCAAGACTGGGTGGCTGAATTATGTGGGGCTATTGGCAGCACACTAGGCGGAATGTCGAAAGCATAAGCAATGCTTCCAGCTTGCCTTTCCCAGGCCAAGACGGGCACATCTTATACAAAGAAGCTCATCTTGTTCTGCCTGGGATAAGTGGCAAATGCAGGATTACTTCACTTGCCATGATTTCCTGCACAAAGCCTTGTGCACACATATTTGTGGACAACTGGGGGGGAGCTAGAAGAAGTGCAATGCCCTGCCCTCTCACACAACTGATTTTTCTGATACCACCCCCTCCTATGCAAGCATATGTGGGCACAGCCTATACGCTGACAACCTGGGCGTGGAACAGTAGTCACTGGGGGTGTGGAGAGCGAGGTATTCGTGAATTTCCTGCACTGTGCAGGGGGTTGGACTAGATGACCCTGGAGGTCCCTTACAACTCTTATGATTCTATGACCTCTGTCCCCCTGCTTGGAACCCGGCCAGTGTGTTTGCTGCCGTTCCCCCTCTGGAGCTGCAATCCCCATTCAGAAATGTGTAATCCACATACAACTACAGGTATCTCTCTGGGACCCGACCTCACCTTCCTGTACAGCTGCCAACCTCCAGGTGGGGCCTGAAAACCTCCTGGAATTACAACTGACGTCCAAACCGTAGAGATCAGTTCCTCTGGAGGAAGCGGCTGCTTTGGAGGGTGGATTCTGCGGCATCATACCCTGCTGAACACCCTTCCCTTTCCCAA